ATCAAACACCTTCTTGAGGTTGATGTTAGCAAGCAACCCATGAATCCAGTAGGTGGTTCTACATTCCCAATGATCCCCTTTCCCCTTCCAGAGAGCGGTAACCACGCCCCTCAACAGTTCAGGGGGAATGGAATCAGTCTGCCAGATGGCAGTCAAGACTACATGTAAGCCCCATGCCATAGGTTCACCCCCAGCCTTTAGCACTTCAGCAGGGATATTACATATGCCTGCGGCTTTCCCACTCTTCAGCTTAGAAATCGCCATTTTAACCTCAAGGTAGGATGGGTGATGGGTGAGTCTGGTACAGGCACTGTGACACTACTTGCATTTAAGTTAACTGTTGGAGGGTCTACCTGGTACAGCTGCTCAAAATGCTCAGCCCAAAGTTCACAAAACCCTAAATGATCTGAAATGATTTGTTCATCCACGTATTGTTCTCCAGTCATCTGCAAGGAGGGCTTAGAGTTCAGATTTCTCAGGGATTGGTAGGCAGGGCGAAGGTCATTTACCAAGAACTGATGAACTGCTTCTTGTCCCTTCTCAGCAGTGTCTGCTGAGAAGAGTGATGCAAGTTCTGATTGCCCTTCAACCAAGCTATGCAAAATGCTTCAGTAGCCTCCAATGCCTCCAGATGAAATTCTGCCTTGCACTCGGGCGCATGTTTATGGACTCCTGAGCTACTTTGAGTGTTTCACACTTGAAGGATTCCCACAGAGCAACTGGATCCATCATATCTTCAAGTTCTGTGAATCGTTCTCACTGCTGGGATTAGCTCCCGAGCCATGGGGGTCGACAGACATCTCGTAGCCAGCTCAATCACAGCCGGATACAACATTGAAGTCATCCTGAATAATGCGAATGTCTCGCTGGGGGCAATTGTATGCCACAGATGTGAGTTTGGCGTAGAGCGCTTCTACACCCACCCATACTGATCGTGCCCCTGCCAGTTCTTCTCACCTCTGAGAAGGCAGCCACCTCTAATGCCAACCACTCCAACTCCCTCGATAGCAGAAGCAACGGCTCGTCCTTCCGCAAGGACCGGATGTTCCAAGTGTATGCATGTGTGTATATATATATACCATGTGTGTGTGTGTATGTATGTATGTGTGTGTGTGTATATATATACATACATATATATGTGTATATACATAAATATATATCCTATATTTATACACATACACACACACACACACACACAAACACACACCACATATATATATACATATATATATATATATATATATATATATATATATATATATATATATGTATATATATATATATATATATATATATATATATACATATATATATATATATATATATATATATATATATATATATACATATATATATATATATATATATATATATATATATATATATATATGTATATATATGTGTGTGTGTGTGTGTGTATACCATATATATATGTGTATACATATATGTGTGTGTATATATATATGTATATACATATATGTATGTATGTATGTATGTGTATATATATAAAGGATATATAAACATATATGCATATATATATATATATATATATATATATATATATATATATATATATATATATATATATGTATATATATATATATATATATATATATATATATATATATATATATATATGCATATATAGATTATATATATACACATATATATATATATATATATATATATATATATATATATATATATATATATATATATATATATGCATATATAAATTATATATATATACACACATATATATATGCATATATATATATATATATATATATATATATATATATATATATATATATATATATATATACACATATCTATATAATATAGATATATATTATAGGTTATATCTATATATCAATACATATATAAAGATACAAACACACGTATATATAATGTATAACCTTTAAATCTAAAGAATCCTGTATTCGAACATGACTTCGGATCCAGATCTAACGAGTCTTCCCAACGCAAAAGAAATCACTCGCCAGTCGTGCCGAACAACTAGAGGAATGAAGTCTCTGCTTTCTATAATAATTTTCGGTTAACTTCTTTAAACTGCAATGTGTGTGATACCATTCAAAGCGCTCCTGCATAATCTATTACCGCTTTCCTAAATTCGAAAGAGTACGCAAGAAATGGATTCCTTTTTGCCATAGGAGTGACATTTAAAGCAGATAATGCATGTATCTGCAGTCGTCACTTTGCAGTGATGGTAAGTAGGCCTACTTTGTTTATATTTACCATGAAAATCAGCAACTCTGGTCGTTATGCAAGGTAATTTTTATTATTGTTCTATTGTCACACCAAAAAGAATACATCAGGTTGTCCAGGCGACAATCAGGGTCGCACTTGGAGCGCTTGAGCTCCGAGGCAATCAAACTGTGTGACCGGCAGAAATCGAGTAGGAGGTCGGCTTGGCCGCTGCCAAAATTCCTCGTACCTACCCGAAAAAAGATATTTACTAACACTGTAATGATCCATGATCGTAAAAGCGACATGATGATGATCCTAAATAATCATACATAAAATCGAACGTACCCCATGTCACATTGAGCACAAGTGTTTACAGGTAAGTGATTGACATGTGCATTGTTCTTATATGGGAGGCAATTAATGTAAACAGGCAGTAATATTAAATAGTTATATAATGAGTACGAAAAATAAATTGACATGTAGATTTGAGACAGCACCAAAACAAATATAGAAACATCCAAGAAAAAAGAGAGGAAAAAGAGAGATATGAGGAAAAAAAGAAAATGTAACTAATCCGAAGAGGTTTCCGTTAGTTGTCCACAAAAAACGCGATTCTTATAGAAAACCGACTTCCAGAAAATGCGGCATTAAGAACTCTGGCCGACTGAGACTGTTCAAGGACGCTATCAGGAAGGTGGTTACATGTAGAGCAGAAGGAAATGAACTATTTATTTTTATTACCCTGAAGATTACTAAACAAATAGGGAAATCATATTTCGTTTTCTGTTTCCACAGATCTCAATTGAGATACCTTGAGGGTGTTGTGGACTTACGGTTGATTTGTTAAAGTTGTAAGAGGCCCGACCCAATAAATATTCAAATATACGGACATGCATCACACGGAAATAAAAGCATAATCTATCATTAGACTTGAATATATACCGGATCGATAAAAAGGTAGATACAGGTTCTTTGGTATGGGCCCCGCACAATTTTGACAAACCGGCCGTTAGAATTGTAAGCCTAAGTGACCACCGCAAGCTACTAGATGTAAGCGTAACAGAGATGGTCTTGGGGCGGTCAATGAAAGGGGCTTAACTTGCTGGTTTATTTCTGAAGATAGATATGAAACCCCCAAGAGACCCCCGTGTTCCCGGGTGGAGGACGAGGTGGTGGAGCTGGACCCTGTGTGGCTTGGCCTGTCTGCCGTGTCTCTCTCCTCTCGTCTTAGGCACGTGCCCT